TTCAAAGCCAGCCCGGGCAGGAGAGACCGTGAGACTCCTATCTCCAATAAACCACCAGAAAACCAGAAGTGGCGCTGTAGCTCAAGTGGTAGAGTGCTCGCCTTGAGCTGAAGAGCTGAAGGACAGCGCCCAGGCCCAGAGTTCAAGCCCCACCACTGACAAAAAAAAAAAGCTAGGAAGAAAATGAAAACTCAGAGCCAATATATTGCATGATATGACTCATTCATTTAAACATAAAGAGGAAGGTACACAAAGCAGTAACACTGATGTGAGCACAAAAATTCTCCAGCAGCAACTAAGTTCCTAGATCAAACATTTTTTAATGTGTTAATTCTTTATATTTTAATTTTCTCAAGTTGCACATTGCATAAATTAGGCCTTTATAGTCTGTTAGGTTCTGTGAGTGAATGTGGGAAATTCATTTTGTAGTTACTACACTGAGCAAATGCAAGAGGAGGTACACAGATTTAAGCAATTAGGGTTCTGAGTAGAAGGAAGGACCAAGTGCCAGAGGTGGATTGGGAGAATCCTGACTTCCTAACAGTCCTTTGAGCAGCCCACCCACGCTGGAACATTGCTGCTATGCTAAGTCTTGGCAGGAAGAGGAAGTTCTTTTTTATTATTTTTTTGTGGGTTGTGGGGCCTGAACTGTGGGCCTGGGCACTGTCCCTCAGCTCTTTAGCTCTACCACTTGAACCACAGCTCCACCTCCTGGTTTTTCTGCATATGTAGTGCTAAGGAATCGAACCCAGGGCCTCATGCATGCAAGGCAAGCACTCTACCACTGAGCCACCTCCCCAGCCCAGGAAGAGGAAGTTCTGCTGACTTTGCTTCTGCCTCGGCTCCCATCATCTCCCCCACTGCTGGTGTAGAGCAAAGTTTGGCTGGTGTGCTGGTGAGAGTGGGTGTTGTTGCTGTTGTTTAGGTTGGTGAGCAAAAGCACACAGTGCATGCCTGTCCAGGAGTTGAGATGGTATTGAAGCCAGGAAGACTCATGCTTAAAGATAAGAGCGCTTCCGTGCAGGAAAAGGTGGCTAAAAGTTCCCATGTGGAAGTCTAGCTGTTCCCTCCTTCCTCTGTTCAATCATGTGCTCATTTTTCAGCCCACATGTGTGTTCAAGTCTGCACAGTAGCCAATATCTGTCATCTTTATCCCCATTTATGTGTTCCTCAGCCTCCCTGTTATTTCCTTTGCATGCATGTGTGCGTGCATGCAGTGCATGCATGTGTGCCTCACAGGCTTGATCAGACATTTCTCCAGAATTCAAATTACAGTATTCTGTCAAAAACAACCACTGAAACTGGCACCAGTGGCTCATGTCTAGAATTCTAGCTACTCATGAGGCTGAGATCTGAGTATCACAGTTAAAGCCATCCTGGGCAGGAAAGTCTATGACACTCTTATCTCCAATTAACCACCAAAAACTGGAAGTAGAAGTCTGGCTCAAGTGGTAGAATGTCATCTATGAGCTGAAAAGCTGAGCAAGAGTGAGGCCCCGAAGTTCAAACCCCAGTAGCAGCGCGCACACACACACACACACACACACACAATCACTAATGTGAACTTCATTCATCTGTAGGTTGCCTGAGTGGACAATGTTCCATGTTCTGTGGACAGCGTGGGCTGTGGGCACCATGATTGGCCTCTCCCAGGAAGGACCTCCAGATCAGACATCTCTGTCATGTGACCGTGCTGGTGTCTGCGATGGGCGTTCCAGGTCTTTTACCTCCATTCCCTCAGGCCTCACGGCAGCGGTGCAGAGCCTTGACCTGTCCAACAACAAGATCACCTACGTGGGCCAGGGCGACCTGCAGAGCTGTGTGAAGCTTCGAGCTCTGGTGCTGCAGTCCAATGAGATCAGCACCATAGAGAAGGATGCTTTTTCCTCCCTGCGCAGCCTTGAGCTCTTGGACTTGTCTGACAACCAGTTGTTGAACTTATCCTCCTCTTGGTTCCAACCCCTTTCTTCCTTGAAATTCTTAAACATAATGAAAAATCCTTACAGAACACTCGGGGACGTACCTCTTTTTTCTCACTTGACCAATTTACAAACCTTGAAGGTGGGAAGTATCCACACCTTACTGATAAAGAGAGTAGATTTTGCTGGACTCACATTTCTTGAGGAACTTGAAATCATTGCATCAAATCTCCAGAGTTATGAGCCAGGAAGTTTCAAGTCAATTCAAAACATCAGTCATCTGACCCTTCACCTCAATCAGCCAATTTTCTTGGGAGAGATTTTTGGAGATCTTTTAAGTTCTGTGGAATATTTGGAATTGAGGGATACCAATTTGAACAGTTTTCAGTTTTCAGGACTCTCTGTCACTGAAACAAATCCCTTGATTAGAAAGTTGACATTCAGAAATGCACTATTCACTGATGCCAGTTTTAATGGAGTTCTGAGACTTCTGCAGTATGCTTCCACACTGGTGGAATTGGAATTTGATGGCTGCACTCTTAATGGTGTTGGAGACTTTGAGCCATCTGATGTGGAGGAAATCAGAGACCTACGTAATATAGAAACCATAACGATCCGGAGATTGCATATTCCACAGTTCTACTTATTTTATGATCTAAGTACAGTCTATTCACTTGCAGGAAGTGTGAAACGAGTCACTGTTGAAAACAGTAAAGTGTTTCTGGTTCCTTGCTCCTTCTCACAGCATTTGAAATCATTGGAATATTTGGATCTCAGTGAAAATCTGATGGTTGAAGAATATTTGAAAAATTCAGCCTGTGAGGGGAGCTGGCCCTCCCTACAAGTCTTAATTTTAAGGCAAAATCACTTGACATCTATAGAAGAAACAGGGAAAATTTTACTGACTCTGAAAAATCTGACCAGCCTTGATCTCAGTAGGAATAGTTTTCATTCGATGTCTGAAACCTGCCAATGGCCAGAAAAGATGAAAAGCTTGAACTTATCTAGCACCCAAATACACAGCTTAACTCGCTGTGTCCCACAGACACTGGAAGTTTTAGATGTGAGCAATAACAATCTCAATTCATTTTCTTTGTTTTTGCCTCAACTTAAAGAACTTTATATTTCCCAAAATAAGTTGAATACTCTACCGGATGCCTCCTTCTTACCTGTATTACTAGTCCTGAAGATCAGCAGGAATACAATAAGTACTTTCTCTAAGGAGCAACTGGATTCTTTTCACAAACTGAAGGTTCTAGAAGCTGGTGGAAACAACTTCATCTGTTCCTGTGAACTCTTATCTTTCACCCAAGAGCAGCCAGCGCTGGCCGAGGTCCTGATTGACTGGCCAGACAATTACCTGTGTGATTCCCCATCCTATTTGCGGGGACAGCGGATTCAGGACACCCAGCTGTCCATCTCTGAGTGCCACAAGACAGCAGTGTTGTCTGGTGTGTGCTGTGTCCTTCTCCTGTTGATTCTGCTCACTGGGGGCCTGTGTCACCGTTTCCATGGTGTGTGGTACATGAAAATGATGTGGGCCTGGCTGCAGGCCAAGAGAAAGCCCAGAAAAACCCCCATCAGGGACATCCACTATGATGCCTTTGTTTCCTACAGTGAGCAGGATTCCTACTGGGTGGAGAACCTGATGGTCCAGGAGCTTGAGCACTTTAACCCCCCCTTCAAGCTGTGTCTCCACAAGCGGGACTTCGTCCCTGGCAAGTGGATCATTGACAACATCATTGACTCAATCGAAAAGAGCCACAAAACTGTCTTTGTGCTTTCAGAAAACTTTGTGAGGAGCGAGTGGTGTAAGTATGAACTGGACTTCTCTCACTTCCGGCTCTTCGACGAGAACAATGATGCTGTCATTCTTGTTCTTCTGGAGCCCATTGAGAAGAAAACCATTCCCCAGCGCTTCTGTAAGCTGCGGAGGATCATGAACACCAAGACCTACTTGGAATGGCCCAGGGACGAAGCTCTACAGGAGGGGTTTTGGGTCAATCTGAGGATTGCAATAAAATCCTAGATTCTTCACTGATGGCCAGTTAATTATGACCCAGGCATTATCATGATACCACTAGTTATAACTCAGTTCAGGCTAACAGAATTAGATAATATTCACAGTATGTACTGTCACTTGAAGACTTAACTAAAACTACTAATCCTGTAAGCTTTATTTAATAGTGTTGGACTATAAAATCTGTTACCAGATCAGGGGAAGAAAATGGGTTTTGGCTTTTCTTCATTCTGTAAGATAGTTGTGATCTGAATCCATCAGTGATATCTGAATCCTCTGCGCCATTGGCTTGGATCATCAGGAAGCAGCACAAATGATTGATTGTATTTGGCCATTCCAGTAGGCTTCTGTAAAGCGACATGTGGGTAGTCACACAGAGCAGGCTCTGCTCCACCCACCTGTCACCTCTCCCTAAGTTGATCTAAACAAAACCAGGCAAGGTATTTGTGAACTCAGCAAGGTTTGTTGCTATTCCTAGGAAAGGCTGTGTGTTCTCATGAATTCTTCAGCATACAGAATACCTGGCAGGGGTGTTTCCAAGTGATCTGGGTCTGTGCTTCTGGGTATGTGAATTTCTCCAGGCATAATTGGAAGAGAGTATGTAACAGAAGATGCCAGAACAAAACTGTTGGAGTAGATGAAATATTTAGGAGAATTTGAAAGAAATCTCCCTATCAGATCTGATCTTTTTTGGCCTTAATCCACATGTCAAATTCTAATTAGCAACTAGTTCTCTTATTTCCTGTTCCCCTACATAGATGGTGTTTCTTTTCTTCGATGCAAAGTCCTTGTTTCTAACTCTGAAAAAACTTTTCCATTTCTCTTTGTTTCTCAGCATCTTTTTCTCCATGGGCCCTCTGCTTGTCACAAGCCCAAAAGCAACACGGGCCAACTAACCAAAACTGTGGACCAGACCTCCCAAAACTGTGAACCTAAACAAATCTTTCCTTTTTTTTTTTTTTGCCAGTCATGGTGCCTGAACTCTGGGCCTGGGCGCTGTCCCTCAGCTCTTCAGCTCAAGGCTAGTGCTCTACCACTTGAGCCACAGCACCACTTCCAGCTTTTTCTGCTTATGTGGTACTGAGGAATCGAACCCAGAGCCTCATGCATGCAAGGCAAGCACTCTACCACTGAGCCACCTTCCAAGCCCAAACCTTTCCTTTTTGAAAGCTGATTATTGCAGGTATTTGTTACAGTAACCGAAAGCTGACTAACACAGTGATTACTTCATATATCTGGACTGTGAGGGCCATACTGCATTAGGCCCTGAGTCCAGAGTTCTAAAGGGGTCTAGAAGCTATTTCCTGGCAACTATCTATAAAAGGTAAGTGGCAAATACATTAGAGATCAATGTAATAGCATCTGTAATTTAAAAAAAAAGATAAAAATAATTTTTAGTACTGTCTGCAAATGTGAGAATTGTTCATTGCTGATGGACTAAACTTAGGGACCTTGTTTTGTGTTCTTACCTCTTGAGTGTGCCTACCATATAATGAGTATTGAATTAGTGATGTCTTGCTGAGTACAGAAACAACTGGAATTAGGCCTTCTAGAAGTCTGGATGGCAAACCAGTTGTAATACTGAGGCATCGAGTAGTGTAAAGATGGAAAGTTCACAGCAAGTAGAAATCTTAGTGTGAGTTATCTTGAAGGGGGGACCTTTGGCTAGCATTAAGTACACTGCCAGTATTTGGACAAGGAGAATAACCACTAGTGAATTTCCTTTCTACTCCATATGAGGGTAGTGGTCTTATGTTCCCTTAGTGCCTGTTTAACACATGAACACATGAATTCCTTTTTTGGAATCCAACACATCATTCTTGGGCCAGTTCTTTCTGATTCATCATCCCTATTCAGCTAATTTTGTTTCCTCCTGCCAGATTAGTTATTCTTCTTTCAACAAACACTTATCATGTGTGTAAGTTTTGTGCTGGGCATTGCTTTAAGTGCTATGAGTACAGTAGAGAGCAGAATGGATGAAATTCCTTGCCTTCACTGAGTGGAAAACAAGCAATGCAGCCGGATACAGTTTCAGGTACTGGTATGTACTATGAAAAAGATGAGGGCAGAGGTTTCAGACAGGATGTGGTGTATGCTTGTAGGCTTACATGTGGGATGTGTGAATATTCTCTCCTTTAAGTGCTTAGTGTTTAGTCCCAGCAAAGTGGTAGCCCTGCTACTGGAGCATTGTGAGTGACCCTTTGTACAGGCTTTGTGGTGCCAAGTTGCCACAGTGCCTAGAAAAGACGTTAATTAGAATACTGTTATATTGGATTGGGAACATGGCTTAGTGGTAGAGTGGTTGCCTAGCATGCATGAAGGCCTGGGTTTGATTCCTCAGTACCTCATAAACAGAAACAGCCAGTAGTGGTGCTATGGCGTAAGTGGTAGAGTGCTATCTAAGTGGTAGAGTGCTATCCTTGAACAGAGGAAGCTCGGTGACAGTGCCCAGACCCTGAGTTCAAGCCCCAGGACTGGCAAAAAAAACCCACTGCTATAACTAAATTGTAACTAAATGTTCCCTGTGAGGAGCATTTTGCGAGCTTTTGAAAATCTTCACAGATCAGAGCATTGTAAGCCAAACTGGGTGTGTAGTGTACATGGTGGGGTGTAACCAGATATGTCATATTAGAAAGTTGTAAGAAAAAAGATGAAACAGCATCTTTTATTTGTTGAATCCATTGTTCAGTTTCTCTTCAGTTATTTCCAGAGATAAATTGCTCTAGGGTGACACCAAATATTATATTTTAGTTTATTTTTGTTTGTAGTATTCTGAAGATTATCTCTAAAATTAAATATTAATATTGCATGTAGGACCAAGGATTTAAAAATATTCCAGCCATGCTGTCCATTGCTTCTGGGGTAAGTCTGCTGCACTATTCCAGCCCTAGTGAATAGTTAATGCCTTGAACTATTCCAATCACCACAGGTTGCCAAGCCACCAAGTAACGAAGCCAGTCCAGGATCTGTCCGTACAGAAAATGTGTGCGCTCCCAGCTGAATCTCAGTAAAGGAATTTGTTGGATAGAAAGCCAAAGTACCAGAAACATTCATCAATGTCACTTGCAACTATAACAGACAATGTAATGTAATGAAGGGGTGTCTTCTTTCTTGTTCATCCTCTGTGCTCAGTTAAAAGCCCTCTATCAGTGTACATCTGTAAACTTAGGTACTCAGGTAGCTGGGATTGGGAGGGTCATCATTTGAGGCCAGCCAGGCAAAGAGTTCACAGGCCACCTCAACCAATCAAATCAACTAGATTTGATTTGTTGCTACTCAACTGTCATCCCAGCTATATGAGATATGTCAACAGGAGGACCGAGGTCCAGGTTAGCCTAGACAAAAAGTGAGCCCTTATTCAAAAAACAAAAATAAAAACCAAAATGGATTGAGGGTTTAATGTTACAGTGTCTGCAGGCCCAAGGCTCTGCCTTCAAATACCAGTACTGCCAAAATAAAAGGTAAAAAGCAAAAAAGAAGTCTGTCAAATTCTTCTTTTTATACTATTATGGTTATCATTGTTATTTATACCACACTGAAAAGAAATAGAAACCAAACCAGGTGCCAGTGGCTCACGCCTGTTATCTAGCAACCGAGGAAGCTGAGATCTGAAGATCCCTGTTCAAAGCCAGCCTGGGCAGGAAAGTCCATGAGACCCTTATCTCCAATTAACCACCTGAAAACTAGAAGTGGAGCTGTGGCTGAAAGTGGTAGTGTTAGCCTTGAGTGAAAGAGCTTAGGACAGTGCCCAGACCCTGACTGCAAGCCCATGACTGATGTAGGAGGAGGGGAGGGAACCTTCTGTCTATATAACATGGGGTAGGAGCATAGCTCTTGCCCATGCATGCTCACTCAAGTGCATGGGTCTAGTGTAAACAATGACAACTACAGCATTAGTTCAACATATAAGACATACCTTTACCTGGTATCTTTAACAAACAGTCCTGGGCTGGGCAGGGAAGGTGGCTCAGTGGTGGAGTACTTGCCTTGCATGCATAAGGCCCTGGGTTTGATTCCTCAGCACCACAAAACCAAAAAAAGCTAGAAGTGGCGCTGTGGCTCAAGTGGTAGAGTGCTAGCCTTGAGCTGAAGAGCTGAGGGACAGCACCCAGGCCCTGAGTTCAGGCCCCACGACCGACAAAAACAAAAACCAAAAAAACAAAACAAATAGTCCTAAAGGAACATAATCCTTATCTCTGGTAGCAGTTTTACAAAGGGCAGCTTTTTACATATAACTTTACCTTACATTGTGTCTCTAGAAAGAATGCAGGTGATATTTATTAGTTTATTCTCTCCAGAATGTATAAAGAAACAAGTCACCCTTTTATACTTAAACTTTTCTTTTTCCTTTTATTTTTTGGGGGGAGGAGCAGTAATGGAGTTTGAACTCAGGGCCTCATGCTTGCTGGGAAGGCTCTGTACCACTTGAGCTAGGCCTACAGACAAATCTGCATTTAGTTTATTTTTCAGGTATAGTTTACTATTTTTGCTCAGCAATAACCTTGAACCACAATCCTCTTATATCCAACTTCTGAGTAGCTGAGATTATAGCATGCACCACTGTGCCCCACTAGTTTATGTGATGAGGGTCTCACTTTTTGCCTGAGTTGTTCTTGAACTGTGGTCCTATCTTTGCCTCCTGGGTAGCTGGAATTACAAGTGTGAGCCAGCTTGCCTAACCGTTAATCATCAGTTTTCTGACAAAGATTATGCATTGTAGGCTTATTAGTTCCTACCTGAAAGTGCTTCTGGTTCATGTCATATTCTAGAAGGTGACAGGAGGGTCAGTAAATGGAGAGGGAGGAGCAGGAAGCGGCACAGGGTCAGCATTGAGTGAGTTCACCAAGAGTCAGGCCTGTAAATGGAGCGAAGATGGTGGTGTAGGTGTTCGATGCCATCACGGCAAGGCCTGAGGCCCGAGGCCTCCTTCCCAGATGCCCTTCTTGAAACTCAGAGATGGGGTGCTGCTGCCATTAGCTATCATGAGCACCCACAGAACTGTGAGGCGGAGGGTTATCTTTCTGTTAGCTCTGGATCAGGGCCATTCCCTTTCCCTGGTCTTAATGAGACCTGCATTTCTTCTGTTGAGTTCCTGGCGTCTATAAAAAATCTAGTTGCTGCCATACACTGATCGTATTTGTAGGAGTTTGTCTCCTTTCAGTATCATTACCGCGAGGGCTTAGCCTAAAAAGAGCAGAGACACCGCAAGGAATTTAAAACACTGAAATTCAGGGCGAGGAGAAAATGTAGTTTGGCCTAAAAATGTATTTCTCTACACTTCAGTTCATACTTGGGGCTTTTACATTTTGGACTCTAACTTACCTATTAATCTCCCCTCCCATCACCCATCCAGTTCAATCATGCATGCATCCCTCCTTTGTATTTTCCTTATGGTTTTCAATATCCTGTTTCATTTCTGCTAAATCCCTTAATGTGGAAAATATGAGACAGAAAAAGTAGTATGTTAGGCATTTCACTTCCTAACCAGAGCGCTAACATAGACAAGCCATTTTTTTTCTTGCCAATGCTGGGGCTTGAACTCAGAGCCTGGGGACTGTCCCTGAGTTTCTTTTGTTCAAGGCTATCAATCTACCACTTGAGCCACAGCACTTTTTCTGTTTATGTGGTACTGAGGAATCGACCCAGGGCTTCATGCATGCCAGACAAGCACTCTATCACTAAGACACCTTCCCAGCCCTAGACAAGCCATTTTGAAATAGGTTGTTAGAGACAATGTAGCTGTAGAGCAATAATGAAAGGCTAGCTTAAAGAATGCACCCCTAGAAATAGTTGAGATAGTAGTTTGCACATTTGCGAAAGGATACGGATTGCTGATCATCCTCTTCAGATCCACCTTCTCTTTGCAGTATGGGCAGGTCTGCTTTTTCCCAACAATACACCAGCCTCGGATGCAGAATTCATGAAAGCTGAAGGAACTTGTTAGGGAAGTTCTAGATAGTCAGGAGTAAGGACTGGTGACGTGGAAGAGATCTTAGCTTAGTAGCCCGGGGTGGGGATGGCTGCGAGGCCTACACTTCTTTAAGGAGACTCTAGGCGACAGAGAGCCCCAAGCGAGGACTATGAGCTGTGAAGGGGCTTGCGCTCGTGCTTGCTCACTCTGTGGCTCGTAACTTCTTGACCTTACTTGTAAGTTCTTTCTCCACTTCACTCTAGTAAGAACTAGATAAAAACAGATGGCTGCTTTTACACTCAAGCATTTTTTTCATGTATTCACCTTAGTACTTCCTAATTCTAAATTTGCACCAGTCCTTGAATTCACAGCCTGGGCACTGTTCCTGAGCTTTTTTGCTTAAGGCTAGTGTTCTATCACTTGAGCCACAGCTCCACTTCTGGCTTTTTAGTAGTAAAATGGAGATAACTTTTCCTGCCCAAGTTGACCTTGAACCTCAATCCTCAGATCTCAGCCTCTTAAGTAGCTATAATTTATAGGTGTGAACCTACTCAGTTCTACTTTTTGTCACTTACTTGTTATTTTCTTTCTTTCTTTTTTTTTGGGTCCAGTCATGGGGCCTGAACTCTGGGCCTGGGCACTGTCCCTCAGCTCTTCAGCTCAGGGCTAGTGCTCTACCACTTGAGCTACAGCACCACTTCCGGCTTTTTTCTTTTTGCTTATGTGGTGCTGAGGAATTGAACCCAGGGCCTCAGGCATGCAAGCCACCTTCCCAGCCCCTTACTTGTTATTTTCTATATAATCAGACTTGTCTTAGGCAAATTTAAATTATGTTAATAAATTTGAGAATCAATCATTCCTTTCCTCCCTCCTTCCATCCATTTTTCATTCCCTACTTTCCTCCTTCCCTCCCTCCTTTCCTTCCTCTCTTCCTTCCATGTTCTTTCAATACAAGGAACTTACTCTAGGCATCATGAAATCCTTTGTGCTCTCTTTCTCTCTGTCTCTCAGGCCATATGTTACCTAGAGGACTGTCTTATTCATCTTCCTGTCCTCACTACGTTAAGCAAGTATCTAAGAAATATTTGTTGAATGAATCATTCAAAAGCAGTTTTTGGAAATAAATATTTCCAGCGTTTACAAAACTACAGATAGGGACAAAATGATTGTGTGTAAATTGAAATTCATCCTATTGATTGATTGATTTCTTCTACCACTAGCATAGGAATAGTGGATCACAGTCCTCTGACCAGCCTGCCTCACACCTGTTTGTCCTGGCTGATGCATAGACAGCTGTGAGGCGCCACAGCAGCAAGGCTGTGGGTAATCTCTCAATTCTATGTTGAGAAGTTTGGGACATTAAGAAAATATATCTTGGGGCTGGGAAGGTGGCTCAGTGGTAGAGTGCTTGCCTTGCATGCATGAGGCCCTGGGTTCAATTCCTCAGCACCACATAAGCAGAAAAAAAAAAACTGGAAGTGGCGCTGTGGCCCAAGTGGTAGAGCGCTAGCCTTGAGCTGAAGAGCTGAGGGACAGCGCCCAGGCCCAGAGTTCAGGCCCCACTACTGGACCCCCCCCAAAAAAAATATATATATATCTTTAGGTCAACAGAAAATAGATTGCAACAAACCTATTTGAATCCAAACCCATACAGTCCTTTTTCAAAAAGGCTATAATATAGCCCTATCTGCCATCTGGGTATAGAGTTCAGCATGAAAAATGTCCACATGTTCTGTTCTTTCCTTTCCCTTTCTTTCTTCCTTCCTTGGTCTTTCTTTCTTTCTTTCTTTCCTTCCTTCCTTCCTTCCTTCCTTCCTTCCTTCCTTCCTTCCTTCCTTCCTTCCTTCCTCCCTCCCTCCCTCCCTCCCTCCCTCCTTTCTTTCTTTCTTTCTTTCTTCTCTCTCTGTCTCATTCTTTCTTTCTTGCTAGTCCTGGGCACTGTCTCTGAGCTCCTTTTAGCTCAAGACTAGCACTCTACCACTTGAGCCACGGTACCATTTCTGGCTTTTTCTGTGACTAGTTGGACTTCATTGCCCAGACTGGCTTCAAACCTTAAATCTCAGCTTCCTAAATAGCTAGAGTTACAGGAGTGAGCCACCAGCACCCGGCCACATTTTCTTAAACATACTCTTTCACCCCCCGGTCTCCATGCTGAGAAACGCTCACATTGCCGGATGGCTGCAGAGACACCCCCACATAATCCCTCCTCAGTGTGACCACACGGGCCCAGCTCTCGCTGAGATGACTCATGCTCAAATGAGCCATTAATAATACTCCCTGCAAGGCAAATTTCAAGGTGACTACATTTTAGATTACATATGCACACATGTCCAACAATCCCTAAGGGCTTTTAAAGGTGGAGAGAGAAAATATTTCCATTTGCAAATGGCAGAAGGGGCTCTGTGCCAACATTTGAAAAGTAAATCATATTAAAACCCAGGCCAGACTTGGAACTTTTCTAACTAAGAATGATCTTTTTTGGGAGTGGGGGGAGAAGAGAGAAAGGTATGGTATTGAAAAAAGCACTACAGAATTCCATATGGGATATCTTCATGTTTCTTCCCTTGACATTTTAAGGCTTAAATGTGGGAGCGAAGGCTCCTGTTACATTTGAGATGCATTTGGATTTCTGACTCAGAATTGAAGAGGTGGAAACTGTCCAGATTAAACGGCGCTGGCTCATCAGTGCTCTTTGGAGAGAGAAGGTATTGTAGGCCGCATACAGTGGGCTGGGGAGGGGCGCAGCCGGCCTGAGCGGCACACAGAGCTCCAGCTTTGTAGAGGGACAATGCTGTGAGACTGGTCCTGCTCTATGAACTAAAGATAAATGATGCTTTGTTTTGTATTTAGGAACAAATTAAAGTATGCCTTGCTTGCCAACCCAAATCCAAACTTTGGTACCCACAGCCACATGCCTGGACAACATGCACTGCTTTGTGCAGGGGTTTTGATGCACATGGTTTTTGGTGTACTGAGGCCTTTCTCAAGGCCTGCTGGGGGGTTCCCAGAAAGAACAGCTAGTTTCCACACCATGGCTTGTCCATTACCGTCACCACAGGCTCCCCCTCAGCCTTAGAGAATTACCTGAGGAGGAGCACATAGCTGAAGAGCCCAACAGTTCAAGAACAAGACATCAAATTTTGGTCTTTCTTGTAGTTGCCTGAAGTATTTTCTTATTGCATGTAGTGTGACTTTTGGGGGGAGGGAAGGGAATGGAAAACACTGTCCCTGAGCTATTTTGCTCAAAGCTACTGCTCTACTTGAGCCGCTGCTCTGCTTCTGGGGGTTTGCTAGTGAAATGCAGATAGGAGTCTGCCCAGGCTGGCCTCAAACCAGGATCCTCAGATCTCAGCCTCCTGAGTAGCTAGGATTACATGTGTGAGCCAAAAGCTTAGACTTAGGGCTCAGACTTAATAAGAAAGCTGGTGAGGATCTTGGTTTTCTCCCACAACCATCTCTGTCTCTTGTTGTTCCAAATGGGTTCCCTGGATTCTTTCTAGACCAAGTGCACTGTGTCAAGGTTGAGATACCACCAGGCCCCACTCACACTGGCTTGTGCTCCTCCCTTGGGGATGGAAGCCAGGCCTGCCTTAGTCTGAGAGCTCATGTGCCACACTCCCAGCCCCTTTATTTTCTTACTCTCAACCCCCATTTTTCTCTTTTGGTCCTTTTTGGCTCGGTGTTCATCTATGGCTTCCACCATTTCCCAATGAGCTCCCTTCAGTCAATACTGCCTTCTGGTTTATGGGGACTGAGAGACCTTTTAGGAGACTGAAATTATTGTAGAGCATGTTCATATTAATTAGGAGTTCACAATGCAAGAAGGATCGTCAGAAAGTCTCAGAAATAGAATTGGCCAGAGGAGTGAAGATGTGGGGCTTGGAGAGGGAGGCTAAGCAAGCCAGAAGCTGGGGAAGAGAGGAGAGGGAGGGAAGGAGGGGAGAGGGAGGGAAGGGAGCTGGGCTGGGTGCAGCGAGGGCTGGGCAAAGGATACACATGATTGCATGGGAGCTGGTAGGTGTTCTCAATGAGCCCTTCTTCCTCGAGCTCCACGATGATCTTCTGCCCACACACGGCACAGATATTGTCTGCCAGGCTCCTGGTGGGCATCCCGCTGACACTGTAGAACTGTCAGGAAATGGGCAAGGGGAACACTGTTTGACAGCAGGCACCCACCATTTCTGAACACAGTGCAGCCCCAGCTCCTAGCAGAATCTCCTGGGTTAGAACTCTTGCCACCTTTTCTTGTAGGAACAAGGCAGCAGGGGAGTTGAGATTTCCAGGCACAGCCCACTGAATCCCAAGGGGACCCGAAGTTCATTGCTAATCATAGTGTCTACCTGTAGTCTTCCCTTGAAAGAGACGAGGTTTTGCCCAGGGCTGGAGTTTCTCAATCACACAGGAAGCCTTGGAGCTTAGCTCTTACCTGGCCCTTCCTTTCCTCTTCAGAGTATGACACGGAGAGCTGTAGTAAATCCAAGCACTTGTCTTGTTTTTAAATGCCATGTTTTTACAGGGAGCTCACAGACTTGTCGCTCTTAGAAGGCAGTGCTTTTAGAATCCTAGGGTACCTAGACCTTCCAGGGCTGAAGAGGTAGTTCTCAATTTGGGCAAGACATCAGGCTTTTTTTTCTTAATAGAAAATGTATTTTTTAGTAGTTTTACATTTAAAATATCTAATATCTATAAAGACAGTATATATGCCATACATCCAGTTTCTCCTATTAGCAGATTGTGTGTGTGTGTGTGTGTGTGTGTGTGTGTGTGTCTGTACTGGGGCTTGAATTCAGAGCCTCCCACTCCTTTATATTCAACGCTAGCATTCTACCACTTGAGCCATACCTCCACCTCTAGGTTTTAGCTGGTCAATTAGAAATAAGAGCTTTGTGGACTTCTCTGCCCAGGCTGGCCTTGAACTAGGATCCTCAGATCTTAGCCTCCTAAATAAGTAGCATTTCAAGTGTGAGCAACTGGTGCCCAGCCCATGTTTCTTTTTATTATGGAATAGTATTAGAAACCAAGATCTGGAAATTGGGGTGTAGAAGGAGGCATTGTTTCTACAATCTCTTAGCAGACAGTACAAGAAAATATATCTGCATATACTAACATGTGTATATGTCCACAGCTCCAAGTATTCTGTACTTACATGTTCATCTAAATTTATACTAAGCTAAAGCTGGATCCCATTTTAATATCTCATAGCTCCTTCTTCTTGCCTGTAATTGTTTATTCAGACAGTGAGAAACCTAGCTTCTATAATCAGATATCCATTTATTTTTCAGTGGCTCAATTTCAGAATACATGTAGAGGGGCATCAGAATTGTTCATCCAAAAGCTTGGAGGCATGACTTTATCAGCCAGATTACAATGTAATGTACAGTTCCTCTTGCTTTTGGTCTTATATTCTCCGCTCATTTTAAATTTCCTTAGGATAACACATCCTCTACCTTCAATAGGGCTAGTTCACACATTCGCAATACAATGAGATTCCTTCTTCTCAGTCTTCATTCTTCTGCGGAATCCTCTGACCTCCTAAATAACTTTTCAATTTTGCATGCATGAAGGTTCATTCTTTCTGAAACATCATTCTTAAAGATTCTGAAAAATGCTGTGTGTCTCATCTCCTTGTCCTAGCGTGAAACAGAATGAGTCTTCCACTTGACTGTAGTCTGAGCAGGTCTCAGTAAAGTGTCCCTAGGACTCCATCTGAGAGCCACAGAAAAAGCATGCAGTGCCAAAGTCTGTGGACCCTCTGCTCTGGTTCTATGGAAAACAACGTCTTAAGGAAGTCTATACACATATAAAAATAAATCCCTGAGCTTCAGCTATTCACCCCTGCTCCCTCCCTAAACCCCTGCAGCCCTGCGCTGCTACGGTTGGGCCTTTCCTGAAATGTCATATAAAAGGAACCATTCTTTACAGACTCCTTTTGGACTGGCTCCTCACCCTCAGCAACATGCATTTGAGATTTGTCCATGATTTTAGATGGCTTAATAGCTCGTTCTTTTTTTTTTTTTTCCTAAGGAGGATTTTTAAACCAAGCAGATGCATTGGCTTCATTCCCGGAGATTCTGGCTTAATTGATCTGGTGTGAGGCTCAGACACTGGTCTGGGAATGGAGGCTGGTCCTCCTTTGTTTGCTTCTTCGCACACACACACCACTCACAGACACATGCACACTGGTGGCTGATCCAGTGGCTGGATGCAGTGATTTGTATAGAGTTGGGAGCTAGCATGAAGGCCACAGAGGCCCACAGCACGGACTGAGCACTGCTGGACTGTTGGAGGGGTTGGATCAAGTGAGGTCTCTGAAAAGCTGGTTGTTTGGCCAGCTGAAATCTCTTCTTCTTGGTCCACAGGAGAACTGGCCCAACACCACCCTTCTCTTCCTCAAACCCTGCTCATAAATGCTTTGAGCATTGGTGGGGAGAGGAAGGGGGAAGGAGGTCGATATGACTCTGGATTTCATTGGAACGGGGAGTGGCCTTCTGTGCCCACCTTGAACCTCATCAGAAAGGCAGCTTGCCCACAGACCACACCTGACCACCAAGTTCCCAGGGCCTGCTGCTGCAGCAGTGCACTGCAGAGGATGGGTGTGGGTCTAGAAGGAGGATGGGAGAGAGCCCCGGTGGAAGGAAGACAAAGAGGTGCTGATAAGGTCAAGGGGTGCAAATGGAGCTCAAAGAACCCAGAAGCCGGCTCTTCTCTTACACTCGTTTTCCTGTTTCAGATCTGGCTGTGTATCACGAGACAAGAAGGGAAGAGGATGTGGACCCCTGGGTTTGTAACTGTTTAGAGGTGTGCAGCATGGTCAGGCATAGAGGAATGTTCTCGAAGCCCAAATCTGGAATCCATCTAACTGGAAAGTATGTTTATTCTAATGTTTAATCATTTTAAGACAGTGGAACACACACACACACACACACACACACACACACACACACACACACACACACGCTGTTTGGGATTTTAAAATATGAAAGGCACCAATATACCATCAACACACCTTTTGTATTTTCTGTTTCTTTGGATGCTGGGTCGTAATAACTTAATCTTTCTGGTGAGTATCACAGCGAGTTACTGTCGATGCCAAAGTGCTTTCATGAAGCATCAAATACAAATCTAGATGATTTGTGGTGCTGAGGATACAACCCAGGGTGAGTTCTACTACTGAGCTATACCACAGCCTCTCAAATATGAATTTTATTTGCAGTAGGTGGAGTTTCAGGAGAGAGAAAGGGTTTTGGTTAGAAGTATCCTATGGATGATGACCTGAATAAATATCATATTTTATTAATGGCACAGGATTACTACAAGATGACTTACTCCTCGCTGTTATATATAAGAAATGTGTTTTCTAATTAGTTAGCCAGGACTATTTTCTGAGGCAAGAATCAGTGGAGCTGAGAGAACCAAAGCAGTTCCAGAGGAAAAGACGCAAACGTGGATGGAAATATTAAGATGAGACCATTTTTCCCATGTCATAAATGATTTCAAGCAAGGAAAAGCAGCACTTACCCCAATAGTAGAAGCCATGAAATCCGAGCAGATCTCAGCAAAATCTCTCCCCATTATCCCGTAGTAGAGGCCATAGAACAAGGAAACGATGCCAAACTCCATGGAATCCCTGGCTTTGATTCTACGTAAAACAACATCACCAGGAAGTAAGAATGTAGCCCCTGAGTGAATTTAAATTTCTCTCAAATGGCACCGTTCAGAGCTGGTGGACAAGGAACTCCTGGGGAGTCCCCTTATTCTTGGGTGACACATTCCCAAACCCTCAGTGGGTACGTGACATCTCACTGCTGAGCCCCATGCAGATTGTTTTTACCTCTATACGCACATCTACGATGAAGCTTAATTTATAAATAAGGCATAGCAAGAGATTAACAACTCTTAAGAACAATGTCATTCTTACCAGTGGTTTCAAAGTTGGCTAAGCACAGAAAGGTCCGGGAAGCTTATTAAAAGCTATTTCTCCAGGCCACAGGCCAGATCAGTCCTAATCATAATCTCTAATAGCCCCAGGATGGGACTCAGGCAGCAAAAACACCAAATGACTCCTGTGAGTGGCTAGTATTAATAACCACCATAGAAGTAGGTTCCAGCCCCAGCCATAGACTAGAATCACAAGGGAGTTTTAATATGTGCTGATGCATCAGCTCACCAAGGACGCTAGTTGAGTTGGTCTTGGGTGGCGTCTCTGCATGGTAGCATTTTTAAAGCATTTACCAGATAACAAGAGCTGCAAGTTCTCTTGTACACTTTAGTCTATAAAATGCTTCCAAATACTTCGTTTGCCTAACAAATGTTTGGGATAGATACAATGATTTATTCTTTATACGTGAAAAGATGAAGACTTGGAGGGGAAAAAATAGTTGCTTCACATGACAATCAATAGTTAGCAAAGCCAGGAATCAAGTTCAGATTTTACTGGGTGCTCTACCACTTGGGCCATATGCTTTGTGCTCTGGTTATTTTTGAGACCAGGTCTTGCCTTTTGTCTGGATTGGCCTGGACTGGCCTGGACTGTGATCCTCCTGTTTACACTTTCTGCTGTAGTGGGATTATAGGCAGGAACCATCACGCCTAACTTTGTCTTTGTTGAAATGAGATCCTCTGAACTGTGTTTTGCCCAGGCTGGTCTCAAACTACCATCTTTGCTATCTTTGCCTTCTGAATAGCTAGGATTATAGGTATGAGCCACCATGCCTGGCTCAAGCTCAGATTTTTGAGGACCTTTGGCACTATGCCTTAGTTATAATGAATTAATGAAAACTATTTTTATGAAAACAATTTTTAACAAGTTGAAGCATATTTCAAATACTGGGGTTCTCTGTGCTAGTCCTTCCCCTCCTCCCACACTTCTTTTTAAGGGAAAGATCTTTTAAAAGATGAAGAATTAGCCCTAAACGAGTTTGAATCTTCTTTCTTGCCTAGTTGGTTTGTTATATCTGCCAGTACATTGGTTTGTTATAGATGCTGGTACATTTCACATTATAACACATCTCATTTCATATTTCAAGCTTTCAATAGTCATAGGAGCTAGTAGCAACCTCATTGGACAGTACGCTGCTTCTGTAGATACAAAGAAAGGACACATATGATTGGAAGTTCCCGCCCAATCAGGATACTCCATCACCATTAGAGGCCTACTTTTAATGGTGAACTTTGTAGCTCAAGTACAGATTCTCTTTAAAGTTCCAAAGTTTTTGTTTTTTTTGGGGGGGGGGTCCAGTCGTGGGGCCTGAACTCTGGGTCTGGGCACTGTCCCTCAGCTCTTCAGCTCAAGGCTAGCGCTCAACCACTTGAGCCACAGCGCCACTTCCGGCTTTTTTCTTATGTGGTGCTGAGGAATCGAACCCAGGGCCTCAGGTATGCAAGGCAAGCGCTCTACCACTGAGCCACCTTCCCAGCCCCCTAAAGTTCCAAAGTTTTAAAAACCTTTAAAAAATATTTCACTTTGTAGGAACTCGCCTCTTGCTATTCTAGTGATTTCCTCCAATCATTAGCACTATTGGGGAACATAGTGTTAAGTATTATTTAAAAAAAAATAGGGGCATAGAACACCATGGGGTCAAAGCTGGGAGGGTCTGTGCCAAGATAAATGGCCCAGTCAGGTGTTTGGGGGTGTTCTAGCCTCGCAGGAGATACCTACTTGAAAAGTAAGTTGAATCCACACATTGTGAACATGATCGCCAAATAGCCTATCACACCAAAGGCATAGCTCAATTTGTAGATGAGAAGAAACCATTTGTAGACCAATCTGTGACAATTGGGGAGAACACAGAAAATGACAGAAAAGTATGCGGTCTTTCCCGAACAGTGTCATCAATAATCTTTTGATTTATTGATATTTTTGAGGCTAATGCTCTTAAAATCTTAGGCAATAACACTCTTAGAACAACTGTAATCCCAAGTGATTTCTTGAAACTTCTGGTAAATATGCTTATGTTCACAAGTATAAAAGAATTATAGATATATACTACTGGTAGCTTAGTTTTTAAAGAGCTTTTATTTTAAAGAGCTTTTATTCTTTTGGAAGTATTGGGCCTAGTGTGGCAAGCCCAAGAGATGGACAGTGATAATACCAGCATTCTGAAGATGATGTGTGGAGACACAGCAATGTTTAGAAGACGTGGCACACAAGATGCTCACTAGGTCATTGCTATGGCTGCCCTTGCTTTTTCTCTCCTCTCTCTTCCGGTCTACTGGGGATACAACTTTCTAAGCAAGATAGAGTCCAGAGCTGTTTCTACTCGAATGACATGAAAACTGATCAACCAGGTAAGAAGTTGTATTACTGGTTCAGAGCAGCCTCCCAGTGAGAGCTGGGCCTTGCAGTTGATGAGGCCAGCCACCTGGTCTTCCACGTCGCCTGTCTGTGGAGCCTGAACTTCATGCTTGTTGGGTGGTATGACCTTAGGAAGTAGAAAGACTCTCACTTCTCCTTCTCTGCCCCTCTGCACTGCAGCCAGGTGATTCTGGGAGAGGAGGAGCCACAGGGTTGGTGCTAGAGACCCCTCCCAGGACTTGCCTCTCCAATGATGCTGATCTGTTCCCACTGGCTTCCTCCTATACTGAATCTACCATTTCTAAATGGAATCTGAGGTCTGACTCACCTATCACCCATGGTGAAGGAAAGATCTATAAAAATGTCAGGGCCTACGACTGCTCTCATGGAAGAGCTCCTTTTCCCTACAACTTTACTACAAGAACCTTCATTACACTGTCACATGGCTCTCTTCCCATGCCTTCTAGGTCTGCTTTAGAATGCAGTGGAGCTTTTAGCTCTCAGACTGGACTTGGGGTGCAGAGCTGTGCAGTCAGGAAACTGAAGATGGCTCATGGGCATGAGAAGCAGATGCAGGGCCCCCGGCCACTTGAGAGGGGATGACCCTGGAGAACAATGAAGCTGACTGAAGTCAGCTGCTGTGTCTGCACTTTGTATTTAGCTGGAACAACTCATTATACAGTGGGGCAGCAAACCAGTCTCGTTGATATGCAATATGGATTATATGCAGGGGACAGAGACAAGGATGTTTGTGTTATCTGAAATGCAGAGCACTTTATATATCTCAAATAACGTAGTTAACACCCTGTTTATGCCAGCTTAAATATTTTCAGGTTAAAACACAGACTTTCAGGTTAAAACACAGACTTTCAACTTGTGCTTGTGACAGAACTCACAGTGAATTAAAACTAAAAATAACCTTGCAAATAATAGCAGTCTAGAAATTTGCAGAAGGAGTTTCACTTCTCTCAGTCTTGGCCTGGCTCAGTGAAAATGTGAAATTATAAGTTTGACAGCTATTAAACTTCACTAATAAATAACCTCCATGGATGAACAGCAGTATTACTAACCTCCAAATAGTTATGCTACCAAAAAATAAAAGAAGTTAAATAAGCAGACTCATGAGGAAGAAAGGAATGGGATACATACCGTGGCGTTCTTCCTGAGAGAGGTTTTCGGGTGGCTCTGAAGAGGATATAACTGGTGACAAGAGAGAACATGCCCCACAGAGACAGAAACCGCCACCAGAAAAGCTTAATGGTGAAATAGAGAGGCACAACCCACATCTGCAGCAAAGTCACCAGCTGTCAGAGAAATGAACACAGTCTCCTTCAATGACCGAGGGCCTGCATAGCATCTCTGTGAATACTATTATTTTGTAGTGCTTGGGATTGAACCTAGGACCTCAGAAAAGCTAATTATGCACCATACTCCAGAGCTACACCCCAGGTCTGGATCTCCATGACTAAATCATTCAGAATCTTCATGGGAGAAGCCATCTTCACTACCAAATCTGCTTCCTGTGACTGGCTCACCATCCAACTGTAAGTGATGGGGAGAATTGGTATAATCCTCTGAAAATCCAAATGGGAAATGATCCCAAATACACACTTTCTGTCACTTCCTTCCATTTATTTCAGAACAAAGCTATTCTGGGCAATGTAATGTTGGGCAAACAAGTCCCATGATAGCTGCGACAGTTGGGGATGCCTGCCCTGCCTGTCTGTGCTGCCTTAGGTGGAGACGGAAGGAGACCTGAGGTGAGAAAGAATTCTGAAAACCACAGGGCACTGCATGGAGCCAAGGGGCTGCCTGTGAGCATGTGCACAGCTGTGTCAATAAAGGAAGTGGCAGCGGAGGACTCAGAGCCCATCCCCTCCTTGCTACTCCTGTGTGCTCTGCAGTGGCCTGTGCCACTGACGTGAGTGTAAAGCCTACTGACGGGGATTTAACCTGGCTGGCGCCAATCTCACAGCTCAGTGAACTGGAAAGACTGAGCCGATGGCCCAGAGAGGCACTGACTTGGTTTTGTGACCTTAGCAACAGTTCTACTTCTCAGCGCAGGCTAATCCCTCTCTTGGTTTTTGTTGTTGTTGTTTTGTTTTAAGTCAGCGGACTTGAACTCAGGGCCTAGATGCTTTCCCTGAGACTTTTTGCTCAAAGCTAGCATTCTACCACTTTGAGCCATAGCTTCACTTCCAGTTTTTGAATGGTTAAATTGGAGATAAAAGTCTCATGGCCTTTCCTGCCCCAGTTGGCTTTGAACCACAATCCTCAGACCTCAGCCTCCTGAAGAACTAGGCTTACAGGTGCGAGCCACTGGCACCCAGCCATATTTGGCTCCTATAAGGTAGGTCTTGGTGTGGTCTAATGTCAATCAGGAAAACTATTAGGCAGGATGTGAGGGTGTTCTAAAGGTGAGCATACCACAGCCACTTTGCCAATAAGTGACATCTTCATTCTCCTTCTCAGAAACTAACTAGGGTAAGAGTTCTTTAGAATTACGCAGGTCTGCTTTCTGAAAACACTAAGGTTGTTATATACGTGCCTTTGGGGAAAATTCCTTGAGAGAGAGTTCTAAAGAATTCAGGAAAAACATTGCATAACTTTTTTTTGCTGCTGCTGTTGTTTTTAAATTTCAGGGTAAATGGAATATTTTTTTACTTTTGCCCAAATTACTCAGATAAATTGCTTTAATTTTCCATCCTATTGGTGGCTGTGGTCAGAGCTGATGAATAAGTAAGCACCTTTATTTATGATATTGAGATCAATACATATACACAGCATACATACATATATACAAGTAGGAAAAGCAGGCTTTACTTACAGAATTCTCCCAAATGCCTGAACCCACCTGCTGCAGAACTAAGACTCAAGAAATGCTTATGCTAGCACTCAGCATTAGCCACCTGGAGCCTAGTATTGATAATGAAAGTTATGACTCATTAAAATACCTCATCAGGCCAGATCAGTAGCCCATACCTGTAATCTTAGTTACTTAGGTGGCTGAGATCTAAGGCTCATGGTTCAAAGCCAGCCCAGACAGGAATGTTTGTGAGACTTTTATCTCCAGTTAATGGTGGTTAAAGCCAGAAGTGGAGTTGTGGCTCAAGTGGTAGAGTGCTAGCCTTGAGCCCAAAAGCTCAAGGACAGGGCCCAGGCCGTAAGTTCAAGCCCCAAGACTGGCACACATGTACACACACACACATACACACACACACACGTCATCAGTATTTTTTTGGGGGGGGTCCAGTCGTGGGGCCTGAACTCTGGGCCTGGGCGCTGTCCCTCAGCTCTTCAGCTCAAGGCTAGCACTCTACCACTTGAGCCACAGCGCTACTTCTGGCTTTTTTCTTTTTGTTTATGTGGTGCTGAGGAATGGAACCCAGGGCCTCAAGCATGCAAGGCAAGCGCTCCACCACTGAGCCACCTTCCCAGCCCCATGTCATCAGTATTTTTGCTCACTTATTTCCCATAGCGGATTATAAAGATATAAATTATTATAAGTCATAAATTATAGATTCACTGACTTTAAAAAGTCTACTAAGGGGGCTGGGAAGGTGGCTCAGTGGGAGAGCGCATGCCTTGCATGTTCAAGGCCCTGGGTTCGATTCCTCAGCACCACATAAGCAGAAAGAAAAAAGCCGGAAGTGGCGCTGTGGCTCAAGTGGTAGAGCACTAGCCTTGAGCTGAAGAGCTGAGGGACAGCACCCAGGCCCAGAGTTCAGGCCCCACGACCGGACCAAAAAAAAAAAAAAGTCTACTAAGTCAGATATTAAAGAAGGAAATGGACATCTTTCAAAATCTGCTCATCATTGGTACTTTTAATATTTCCTGGCAGGTGCTCTACCACTGACCCACACCTCCAGCCCTTTTCATATTTCTAAGAATTTGATTTATTCCCTCCAAAGAATGAAAACTTCTGAATAAAAAAATTGAATGATTTCATTTAGGGAGACTACTATGCTTTTTTAAAATTACTATGCTTTTATATTTTATATTGTATATCACAATCCAACATGTATAAGAGTAATCCATTTCCTTAACATTTATGATAGGCTGGGCGTTGGTTGCTCTGTCATCCTAGCTACTCCAGAGCTACTCATGATCTGAGGATCATGGTTTAAAGCCAGACAGGGCAGGAAAGTTCATGAGACTTTTATCTCCAATTAACTGCCCCAAAACTGGAAGTGGAGCTGTGGCTCAAAGTGATAGAGTGCTAACCTTGGGCACAAACCAGCTCAGAGGCAGTGCCCAGGGCGTGAGTTCAAGCCCTACAATCAACAAAAGAACATTAGGATAGATTAGATGTACAGTTGGGCACGATTTTTAAGAAATGAGTTCTCTCCCTGTGAATCTATAAGAATGGGCTATTTCTAGAAGATCCCAAAATTCTTACTTGATGCCTGGATCTAATTAACAATGAATAACAATGTTCAATGTATAGACATGCTACTTTAAAAAAAAGTCTTTGGACATCATAAATGCAAAGAAAGAAAAAAAAATCATTACAATGTATGATGGATGCAAATATTTGGTTTCTTAGCCATCTTTAACGTGGATACCCAGCACCATATTTTCTCAACATGTCAAGAGATAGGTCAGAAATTTGCATTATGGATTCAATAATTGTATGAGAAGTCATTTTGAAATGAAGGCTACATTTCATTGCAATTTAAAAGATTTTTTAAAATCAATTTCCAGAGTAGTTAAACCTTTTCATTTTTAATAGTAACTGCCACATATGAAATGGAGGAATGCTGTGCCTCATAAATAAACACATGCACGATGTGAAATCGAGGTGGACACATGCCAAGGGGGAGGCCTGTCATGTGGAACACATTAGTAATGCCAGAGGGGTCACCATCTGGGCATGTGCATATAAAACACATCTGCAGCACCAGCGAAGGCAGCCCATGCGTCTGGATCCTATCATCCCCATCCTCCCCACCCACCTATCAGAACAGGAGGAATTTTCTGACCAATCAGATGCTGCCCGAAGGTACCATGTTTCTTTTCTCCTTGTTTCCCTGCACAGAATGAATGTTAAAAGAATTGCAGGTCAAATCAAAACAAAGGTACCTTTCATTTGTTTGATTGCACAAAATGAAGAATGGACCATGCAAGTATTAAAAAGGAGAGAATTTATGTGATGCTAGTTTCCTTTGTGCTGCAAACCAACTACTTGTGTGCGTGTGTGTGTGTGTGTGTGTGGGTATGTGTGTGTGTGTGTTTATGGCACAGAGGAGGCAGAGGATGCTCAGAGGTGAGAATTTACATAATAAAACTGATTATAATAAACAAATGATTAAATGTAAATAAATAACCGATTTCAGGAAACCTTGATGCTGTTGATCCAAAGGCAGTGAAGAAAATGGACATGACATGAGCAAGAAGAACATGGAATTTGGCATGTGAAGGACACTGTCTCCAAATAAATCCAGAGGATTGATTTTGTTATTTAACTCTGCAAGATGATTCTACAATACTACGCACAGACATATGTAAGTATGTAAGTGAATATTTGTGCCTTGCTCATTTAAAAAAGATTTCAGCAGACACAACGCCACGTGTGCATGGACGTATTTCCACAGACTTGCAGAGCATTCACTGTGCTGCACTGGTAATATTTATTACCACAGCTCTATCCCTGATGGAGCTCATGAGACCTCCTGGACCAAGAGTTCTGCTATTCCAAACCATCCCTTTCCTGGGCCATTGGTGAAATCTACTCATGCATAAAAGAGAAATTGGTTCACTTAAATCAGGATTTCTCAACCTTGGCACCATGAGCATTTGGGCCAGATAATTTTTCTTGTGAAGAGCTAGATGCCCCTCCTCCACACTTCCTTCAATGGACTCATGACAAATAAAACATGTTTGTAGCTAGGCACTGGTGGCTCACGCCTGTAATCCTAACTACTTAGAAGGCTGAGATCTGAGGGTCTCAGTTCAAAGCCAGCCCGGGCAGGAAAAGCCATGAGACTCTTATCTCCAACAAACCACCAAAAACTGGAAGTGGCACTGTAGCTCAAGTGGTAGAGTGATTGCCTTGAGCTGAAGAGCATCTAGGCCCAGAGTTCAAGCCCCACAACCGACAAAAAAGAAAAAGAAAGAAAGAAAAATGAAAACAGCTCCTAAGGACAATTTTTCACCTAGTTGAGAACCACTGACTTAACCCAAAGCAGTTCTTCAGCATGGTCACAAGAGGGGAAGGTGGCAGGTGACAAGCTCAGGCAGGCGTCCAGCACCCAGAGGACTCACGTTGTAGGAGCGGCCATGCCTCTGTCTCCACTGCACCAGTGCCACCTGGGCGACGACCAGGGCAGAGACGAAGATCAGGATCATCTCCACGTGCATGGACTCGTGGCCCCGGTGCATCTGGTACATCCTCTCCTGTTGCAGGCTGCAAGCAAGAAATTCCATCCTCAAATCTCAGCCTCCTGAGTAGCTAGAATTATAGGCCTGAGTCACCAGTACCAAGCTTAGTGTGTGTGTGTGTGTGTGTGTGTGTGTGTGTGTGTGTGTGTGTGTGTTCAGAGTCTTGCACTTGCTAGGGAGGTGTTCTACCACATGAGCCACACCCCCAGCTGTTTTTTTGCCTTTTTTTTTTCAGGTAGGATCTCATGTTTTTTTCCTGGTCAACCTGGACCACAACCTTCCTTTCTTCAACCTCTGGTATAGCTGTATCACAAGCCATACCACCATACCCAGCTTATTGTTTGAGAGGAAGTCTCAAACTTTTGCCTAGGCTGTCATCAAACAGGGATCATCTTGCTCTTTGCCTCTTAAGGAGCTGGGATTACAGGCTTGAACCACTTTACTTGGCCTTTAGTCTGGTCTTTTTAGGTCAAGCGATGAGGCTGAGGAGACTTTGGTTCCAGTTCCTATCTGTCAGTTCATTACCTCCTAACTTGGGGAAGTCATGGATCTCTCTCTGAGTCTCAGTTTCCTCATTTGTGAATTTTAAGTTAATCCCTGGGAGCCTCATGATACACAGGACATAAGACTATATAAAGCACATATGTTATTTGTACTGGTATGAGGAAGAATTATGACTGGTAGGCTGAATCATAGAAAAAAAAGCCATTTCTAGAAAGTAAAAAAATAGTAAAGTATTGGTAATTTCAAGTAATTTCTACTAGCTTTCAAGTAGATGTTGCCTACGCCAACGCTGAGTACATTACCCATGGGACGACAGAACGCTCCAGAGCACACTTGTAAATGCTGTTGGGCAATAACTTAGGGAGAAAGGATAGAGAGGCACGTAGACACCTTCAGAGGATGGCTGGGTGTTTTAGTGTTTAGCTGGAAAATTCATTTTGTAAAATGGTAGGTAAAAATCACTGAAATAGTAGGTCATCTGACTTAGCATCCTATAACAGAAGTGAGCTTGGAGGAAATCTAGAGCAGTGGCTCTTTACCTTGACTGTCAGTTGGAGCTTTTAAAAATCCTGGCCCCCAAGCTATAGCCCAGATCCATTAGGTGACCAGTGTCACTACGAGCCCTCAACCTGCCAGCCCAAACCTGTCAGCACTTCCGAATTGGGCCTTCAGCCTCCAGAACTATGAGAACAGAAGTTTCTGTTGCTTTTGCCATCCCTCCAGCCTGTGGTACTTTGCTGACTTAACTAATACAGGTTTCCAGCATGTGAGCTAGGCATTCGTGATTAATTTTTAATTTTATTTTTAAATGAATACATTAAAGCATAAAATATACCCTTATAGTAATAATATTAATAGGTCCCATGTAATGTTTGGATACATGTATACGGTATATAATGTATACATCATCTGTAATACTTCAAGTTTCCAATGTGATTTTTTTATTTTGCTTTTTTGGTTAGTCCTGGGGCTTGAACTCAGAGCCTGGGCACTGGGCCCTGAACTTCTTTTTGCTCAAGGCTAGCACTCTACCACTTCAGCCACAGTGCCACTTCTGGCCTTTTCTGTGTATGTGGTACTAAGGAATGAGACCCAGGGCTTCATGCATGCTAGGCAAGCTCTCTACCACTCACTAAGCCACCTTCCCAGCCCCCCATGTGATTTTAAGGGGAAGCTAAGGTTCAAAATCACTGGCCTCGAGGAAGGCTGGGGGGAGGGTCTTCGAGTGCCATTCACGGAAAAGGAGGAAACTTAAGAATGCTGTGGCATCTTCTGAGTATAGGCCAGTATTCTCTCTCACTGGCAGTCAGTCCCATCAGTCCCATAAGCCCTTTAAGTTTCCAATGATAACTGATTACAAGCAGTCTGCTTGTGTACCAGTCAATAGACCATGACCTGCGACAGCTGATCAGTGGCATACCAGCCATGTTGTCTCTACCAGCTTTTCTACAGTCTGGGAGAACCCAGTGCTGCTGAAAGGGCTCTATCCAAATCTCAGGACTGCCCCCTGCAGGAGAAGATGTAGAAACAAACCCGCCTAGTAAATATCCCTGTTTGAGTTCAGCTTCTTTGAAATGGACTCTTAGCTGTCAGTGCTGGAAGAAATACGGGATGGAATAAAATCTCATTTATCAAGTGAAGAAGCTGCAGTTCAGACCAGGAAATGATCTGAATAATACTGGAAGCTGAGCTCAGGAGACAAGACTGATTTCTAGAAGAAATAAGAAGTGAACAAAAATGACAGTAGCTCAAGAACTTAATTATGATTTTAACATCCCCAGACCCCAAAACCAATATTTAATATTCTGCATAATTAAGAGACTTCCAACTTAGGTCCTGTGGATTGAAGAGTGAATTCATCATCAACCTAAAGTAAAACTTGCATAGATGGAAAACAAAATATGCTTTATGAATCCATTCTATGTATGTGTATCTATATTCACATATAAATATTTGCACATATAGCATGAAAAGCATTTCAAATGGGTTAACTTATGTGGAAGCCCTTTGAAAAGTATAAATTAGTATACAACTGTAATACATATTTCCTATTTGAAGTAGGAATATGTCTGTAATTGGTTACTGTAGTGCAAAAAGGGAGAACTTTTTATTTTTATTTCTTTCATGTGGTGTTCACAACACCCAATGGCTCCAGGCAGGTCCCAGAACACAGGGGAAGGAGCACATAAAGAAAATCAGCTGCAGCTGGGTGCTGGTGGCTCATGCCTATAATCCTAGCTCAGAAGGCTGAGATCTGAGGATCGTGGTTCAAAGCCAGCCCAGGCAGTAAAGTCCACAAGACTCTTATCTCCAATTAAAAAAAAAAAACCAGAAGTGGTGCTGTGGCTCAAGTGGTAGAGCGCTAGCCTTGAGCTGAAGAGCTGAGTGACAGTGCCCAGGCCCAGAGTTCAAGCCCCACAACTGACAGAAAGAAAAGAAAGAAAGAAAGAAAGAGAGAGAGAGAGAGAGAGAAAGAAAGGAAGGAAGGAAGGAAGAAAGAAAGAAAGGAAGGAAGGAAGGAAGAAAACCAACTGTATCATGTGCCTAAAATCAATAGTAACCTGACGCTCTGTTAATCTCGCTTCGTGAGATTTCACAGGTAGGTCCTGCAGTTGTGGTCCGAGGTCTCTTTATTCTTCAGACATAGGGCTCCCTTACCCACCTGCTCTACCCTGTGCAGTATGCAACTAAAGGCAGAATTTCCTTCCATTTCTCAGACTATTAAGAAGCAAATCTAATTTTTAATAACAACTACAGAAATGCTAAGAACTTACTTCCATGCGTCATCTGCTGAAAGCTTTGTGTGAGAAATCTGAAAAACAATAAAAAAAAAAGACCCTGATTAAAATTGCCTTAACTTATCAGTTTGTAATTTCAGGCATGTCACAGAAAACCTAAACTATGAAAACAGCAATGCTTCTTAGGATAATTTAGGATGAAAGCCCGATTAAAATGACTTGCTTACACACAACCAAAACAAAACAAAAGAATCAGGTCACCATTGATGAATATTTTATTCCGCTTCCAGGTGAGAAAAATGTCCATTCCTGAACTTCTATTTTGGCCAATGTGGGAGAGAGGGGCTCTGTAGGGGCAGTGGCAATCTGGCTTCTGGGATTTAAGGTGTGAGTTCAGTATCCGTAAAAAAAAGACCCATTTCTGGTGTCCTAAATGATGTCAAACCAACTCCAACTTCAAGGTTTTAGAGAAAGCACTGACCAGAGGCTATGTTTGGAGCATTGTTATACACATATGTCCTTCTAGCAAGTAGGTGTCATTACCTACCCCGGAGAGGGTCTACTCAGGTCTTGTGTCCTTACAGATCGAATTGGCCAGCCCAGAGGCCATTCCCAGGACAATGTCCATCCATGTGCTGCTTCCCATGAGTACTGCTAAACCACTATATTTGGTTATTTGAAAACTTAGGGGCATTCATTGGGAAGACACAATCTTACAACTTCCCGAAAGAGCACAGACAGCTTAATGCCTCATTCCCAAGTGTTAACAGAGTTAGATGTTTGAGGTTCATGCCTGTAATCCTAGCTAGCTACTCAGGAGGCTGAGATGTGAGAATTGGGGTTTGAAACCAGTCCAGGCAGGAAAGTCCCTGAGACTCTTATCTCAAATAGCCACAAAAAGTCAGAAATGGAGCTGTGGCTCAAAGTGGTAGAGTAGTAGCCTTGAGCAAAAGAAGCTCAGGGACAGTGCCCAAGCCCAAGTTCAAGCCCCAGTACAGGCGCACAAACAACAAAACCCACCATTATTTCCTAGAGAAAAGGTAAAATAGGATAAGGATGATGATGATGATAAGAACTATAGTGATGATGATACTGAGTCATCTCTATTCTAGTTCTTTTATATATATATATATATATATATATATATATTTCTAGGATGTCTATATTTTGGATCATATTTTCTAATATATTATTTTTGAAGATACCAAGAGTATTTACTTTGGAATGAGAATGACCCTACAATTCATCTGGAAGGACAGCATATGAGGCCAGCCAGGAAAATTCAGAAGAGTAAAGACGAGGACTTGGCCCACCAGTCTCTGAAATCTATGATAAAGCCACAGGAATCAAGTGAAAGCAGCCAGTACCGGCCAAGGGATGGGAAGACAACGAACAGACTCCAGGAACTGACTTAAGTGCCTCTGAGTCACTCTGATAAATGAGTCACTTCAAATCAGAGGATAAATGGTACTAGCACAATTGGCTAGGCATTTGGAAAAAAGTGCAACACAATCCATTCATACTCATTTCTTCAAAATAAATTCCAGATGCATCAAAAATTTAAATGTTAGGAAGAAAAATCTTAAAAGCACTCGAAGAAAATACAGATGAATAATTTTTCCAATCTTGTAGCAATCATATTTCTAAATATGACATGGAGCCCAGAAATGGTAAACTAAAACAATGAACAGATTTTGAGGACATAAAAACTAATTATATGATAACAAATCTATTTGGAAGACAGATTACACTGGGGAAGGGAATAACCCACAGGAGAGGAGGAAGTTAATAATACCCTTGAGA